CCATAAGCTAAAAGCCGTTGCCCCGAAGTGTTGGATGTGGGTTTTCTTACAACCCCCCCCCCGATGGCAGAGTTGAGGAACAGGGAACTAACTTTGTGAAGTTGTAAAGAAACTACTTCCACTTAAACTCTCCCTGGAGTGTGCTTCCCAGCGCTCGCTCAGGCTCTAAGTCTATCCCTCCTGCAGGGATGTTCCTTTTGGCAAATACACACTGTAATCTTGAAGTCTAAATTTATATGTGAAATGCTACCTTTTTTAAAAAAGAAACTAAATAAAATTATTTTACTATCAGTGATTTGTATTTTTTCCTTATGTCTCCATTCTTGTCTGTTGTCTTCACATGCCCCTAAGGCTGTCTTGCCCATTTCAACTAGGTAGCCAGTTTATTTATTAGCTTAACTCAACTGTAGAGGCTTTTCTTACACTCTTCTCAGAATACTGTTTCCTGGGTAGAAGAATCTTGAAAGCAGGGTTTCTGCTCTTCCTGACTCACAGAATGTAACAAGGAATGTTCTGATTCTTGGTGGGATATGGCCAGCAGCCGAAGAGGAAAGGGAGGCTGGAACGTCATGCCCTTTCTAAGTGAGTCTAAGAAGGGAGGAAGGGAAGAGACAATTGTACTGAGGAGGAGGAAGGGCAAATTGTACAAACTAGAACTGACTTCACTAATTCAGGTGTTAGTCCACAAGCCAGGGTTGGACCTGCTCTTTCCAAGCTCTCACCGTTCCCTCATAGGGAACAATTTCACAGTGATGTTGGGGCAGCAGGGCTCAGTAAGGGGGAGTTTTGGGGAAAGCAGCCCTTTACTTGGGTTCCGGTGGAATCCAACCCCATGGTAACCTACATCTGCTGCTGCAGACCAGGGGAGTTTACCTAATTCAGGTGTTAAGTATTACGTATTAAGATGAAGTGATTTAGAACTAAGTGATTCTGCCTCTTGCTGGGAGGAAGGGATTTTGTGAATTAGAATTTGTGGCTTCTCGTTGCTTTGGGATTAATAAATCCCAGATGTGTGCATACAAGGCTCTTAGTCATCTGGCTCCCACTGACCTCTCCAGCCTGGGTCCTTAAATGTGCTTTCTCTCTGCCCCTTTGCATATATTGTTCCATCCACCTGGCTCATTTTTCCCCCTTACATATAGCTCTAATTTTCGTTTGCTAACTCCTGGTGAGTCTTCATGTCTTCAGAAAGGTCAACTGCTGGCTCAGGTCAGCATTCCACATTTCTGTCTTTGTACTATTTCAAATATCTCCCATTACCTGTTTCATGTCTGTTCTCACAAGTGTCCAGCTCTTTGGGGTAGGGACCATGATTCTTCTCTTCTTTGGAGTGGTATCTATTGCTCGGACCTGGCCCATAGGCATTGGTGAGTTTTGTTTCATGAGAGAACAAAAGGGTGAATGTGAAATGCAAGAAAGGGAGTAGTGGAGGAAAAAGGACATAGAGATTAGGGTAGAGTGTCTATGTCAGGACTTAATGTGTAACCATGGGAAGTTACCTAACATCTCTGAGCCTGTTTATACATCCTTACAGCATTCTTCAGTGGGTTCAGCAGCATATGTTTAGACACCTAGCATAATGATTTGTGCATGGTAATTGTTGGGGTGCATTTCTCCCTAGAGTAGGGGAGGCTGATCTGGGGTTTCCAGGGTCCCCTTCCACTCTCATACAGAATGTATTAAGGGAGCAGTGATTTCTAGTAATGAGAATCACATAGGAACTGGAATCTGATTTTTCATGATGGATTTAAAAAAGGAAGAAGAGACAGAAAATGTGTCTGCAGCTCTAAGATAATCAAGCCAGGTGTCAACCTTTAACCCAAATTCTCTCCCCAGACTTCACATGCCATGACATTTGGGATATTGCTACCTCTAACAGTTAATATTTGTAGAGCACTTGACATTTACATGCACACTGAGGATGTAGTCAGTTTTCTGTAGTGATTAACAGGTGTTGGGTTGTTGTTTGTTTGTTTTTTTAAGTTTGTTTATTTTGAGAGAGTGAGCAGAGGAAGGGCAGAAAGAGAATCCCAAGCAGGCTCCGCACTAACAGCGCTGTTAGCGAGGAGCCTGACGCAGGGCTTGAACTCTCAAACTGAGACCATGACCTGAGCTGAAACCAGAGTCAGATGCTTAACCAACTGAGCCACCTAGGTGCCCCAAGGGGTTGGGTTTTACACTTAAACAGTTCCAAAGAATAGAAGAGGAAGAAAAGGTGGCAAGCATGACCAAAACACTACAAAACAAACAGCTACCAATCTTAAAAATATCAACACATAATTTAGCATCACATTAAAAACACTACACCACCACCAAGTGAGGATAATTAGGAACACAGGAATGGTCTAACACCAGGAAATCTAGTTTAGTAAAATTCACCACGTAAATAGAATTTAGGAGGCAATCACATGATGGTCTCACTTGCACAGAAAATGCTTTTGATATTTAATACCCATTTAAAATTTTTTAAGTCCTTAGTAAAATGGGAATAGATGAATACCTCTTTAGCCAGAGAAAACATATTTCTCAAATCATGCTAATTGATAAAATACTTTATAAAAGGATCCCCATTAATATCAAGAATAAAACATGTCTATCTACCATTACTAGAAGTAGAAAAAGGGAACAAGATAAAAAAATTTAAGGCAAATTTGTAGATGATATAATTGTACCTGGGAAATACAAGAAAATTATCTGAACATGATTGCAAAAATAGAATTATTCGTTGGTTAGATACAAATTTATTATTTAAAAAAATTGCTGCCCTATTTAAAATAAAACCTAAATAGATAAAGATAATGAAGGCAAGTTTTTAATAATAAAAAGGATGGGGAGCCTGGGTGGCTCAGTCAGTTGAACATTCAACTCTTGATTTCAGCTCAGGTAAAGATCTTGTGGTTTGTGAGTTCTAGACCTGTGTCAGGCTCTGTGCTGACAGCATGGAGCCTTCTTGGGATTCTCTCTCTCTCTCTCTCTCTCTCTCTCTCTCTCTGCACCCCCCTCAAAAATAAATAAACATTTAAAAAATAAATAAAAACAAGGGTAAAATACTTAGGAATAAACAAGAAATCTCAAGATTTATAGAAAAACATTAAATTGTTAAAGAGAAGTATAATAATAAATTAACTTACTCTATGGGAAGGAAGAAATAGCAATTATCCCAAAATCAAATTTATACATTTATGAGATCTCAATAAAAAATATCAACCAGATATTTTTTTGATCTAAACTAACATCCCAAATTTGATAGGGAAAAATTTAAAAGAACAGTCACAACAGTCCTACCTAATATTAAAGTAAAAAATCACAGTTATTGAAGTAGTGTACTGTAGCTTCTTTAGTCAAAGTATAGAAATGAATTATATATGAAAACTTAGTACATGATAAAGGTGCCTTTTTGAAAGCTTGTAACCTAGAGGGAAAATATGGATTATTCAATGGAGGTTAGAAAACTCTGGGGGAGTTGGAAAAAATACCCCTACCTCACATGGGGGGGGGGGTTACATGGAAATGTATTCTTGGTGGCTCAAACAAATACACACTTTTACTACTAGGAATTTATCCTTCATGAGTAATTCCCCCCAAATAAGAATATTCATCATAGCAATATTTGTGATATTTAAAGACTGGAATATCCCTGAATATTCATTTAAAAAGATTTTTTTTTACAATTCCCTTATTTTAATAAAGTAGGATACTAAGCAAGCATCAGAATGCCATAGGATGCTGCTGTGTGAAAACGGGGATGTGTATGTGTGTGTCTTTTTGTTTTTTTAATCTATAAGTTATCTCTCAAAGGATATATCATAAGTGAGTAACAGTGATTACATCAAGAAGGAAACCAGAAGAGTATAGGAAGAGAGACTCATTTCCACTTTATACCCTTTTGTATATTTTTTTTTGTATTTTATACCATGTGCATGTAACACCTACTCCAGTAATCATAAAATAATGTTTAAGGAAAAACAAAATAAAGTAAAAATGGTAAAAGAAAGCCTTCACTTAAATAGCGGTACTTTATAATCAGAATTTGGGTGAAATTCTAATTGTGCCTCTTGCTAAAAGTCTAACCTCAAATTATTTTTCCTTTCTGAATGTCAGTTGCCTCATTTACACTTGTGAACAAAAAGCCTACTGGACGTGGCTGAAGTGAAAAGTAAATGAGATTTCTAAACAGCTAAGCACAGTGTCAGGTAAATGTGATGGGTCCAGTATAAATTGTGGCTATCATTATATTTTGTCATTTAATCTTCATAAAAACCTTTTCACAAGAGGAAGAAAGTGTGTTGTTTTGGTTACCCCACCCCATTTTACAAGTGAGGGAAGTGGGCTTGATTCATAAAATTTCATGTCTCATTTTCTTCCATTCACATCTGAATTCAGAAAGAAAAAATTGTGACATGTAAGCTCCAGACTTGAGGCAGCAATTCCAGTAAAGTTCACGTCTAGACAATATGGGTTGCAAACCCTGGTTTTTCAACAATTAATCATTGCACATTGACCATGACATTGCTCTTCCCACTGAGCACAATCTTATTACTCAGTAAAAGATAATGTATGAAAATATCATATGACTTCACTCATATGAGGACTTTAAGACACAGAACAGATGGCACAAGAGAAGGGAAGCAAAAATAATATAAAAACAGGGAGGGGGACAAAACATAAGAGACTCTTCAATATGGAGAACAAAACATGGTTACTGGAGGGATTGTGGGAGGGGGGATGGGCTAAATGGGTAAAGGGCATTAAGAAATCTACTCCTGAAATCACTGTGGCACTATATGGTAACTAACTTGGATGTAAATTTAAAAAAAAAAAAAAAAAGATAATGTATGAGAGTGTGTGTAAAATAACCATAACTCTAGAAGATCACTCATTAGACAAGTTTAAGAGTGCTCAGGCCTTTTCAATCCACTGTAATTAAGAGTGTTAGTTTTTTTATGACCCAAGGGGAAATGTGATAAAGTACCATTTCACTCTCCATTTCTTGGTTCCAGGGTACTACTGTATTGCATTACTGTCTTTGGTCTTTTTCAATTGCAAGGAGTTTCCCAACCCAGAGAAGTTTGATCCAGGACACTTTTTGGATAAAAATAGCAGCTTCAGGTAAACAATACTTTGTGCCTTTTTCCCTTGGTTACTACAAATAAATCTACCCAAGTCATACACATGCACATTCTGGACAATTGTTAGCTTCACTGAGTTTATGGCATAAATAAGTAATGCACTGGTGATAGCCAATTCAATCAAATCAAATTGTTACAATTCTCCAAATCTGGATGAAGCCATTTAAGTTCGTACACCAGTAAGATCAGGTAAGTCATCCAGGAACTATTTTGTGTTTGGTAATTGAGTATAATGCATGGTTTTTTGTTTACTGTTTGTTTATTTTGAGAGAGCGAGCGAGTGCGAAAGCACAAGTGGGGGAGGGGCAGAGAGAGGGAGAGAGAGAATCCCAAACATGCTCCACACCAACAGCACACACACAGCCCTACACAGGCTCAAACCCATGAACTGTGAGATCATGACCTGACCTGAGAGTCAGATGCTTAACCCACTAAGCCACCCAGGTGCCCCCAATGCAAGTTTTTAAAGAAACCAAAGAAAGTCCAATTCAGGTGTCATATATCACCAGCTGACCAAGGAATTTGTTTTTGCATACTTTTGTCTGTTGATCTCCCCTTTGTACTACAGACTTTTCCAAAACAAAATGTACCCATTTCTGTTTTTTGCAAACTGTTAACCATTATTAATTTTCTGATTCCTGAAGCCAGGGGCCATCGAAAAGATCTTGGTCACTTTATCTTCTTTCTTCCCCTCTGAAATTCAGAGCCCCACACATCCTTGCCTCTGTGCAGGAGCTGGTTGGCTGGCTCCCAGTTATTATTCCCCATAAGGTCATACAGACAACTTAGGATTGGTCAGCACACATTTTTTTTTCCTTGTTATCCTATCCAATCATTTTATTGGTAGTTTCAAAAATAACAGTTGATATATTTTGCTTCTAATTGCAATGATAAGTGTTCAACATAAAAAATGGAAAATGCAGAAAAGCAAACCAAAAAAATAAAAATGTTACCCTACAGAGATAATCACTGTCAATATTTTACTATATACGCTAAGTGCTCTTGAGGTCTCCTGTCACCCTCTTCTCTCCACCTTTCAGCCTGCCCTTCTCTCCCGCACTGCCAACCCTGAGTTGGGTTGAGGCCACAGCACCAGAGGGAGAGGAGGAGCCAGAGCTGGGAGCCAGCTGTGGCCTGGGAGTACATGGCCTCCTATTAGGAAGGTGGCAAGAAGAAAGTCTACTACCAAGATGGTGACATTGGAAATTATTATTATGGACAGGGTCAGCCTATGAAATCTCATAGAATCCTCATGACCCATAACTTGCTGTGAACTTATGGGTTATATAGAAAAATGAAAATATACAGTTCCCATAAAACCACGGCTGAAGAAATGACAAAATACCACAGTGATGAGTATCTCAAATGTCTGCATTCAATAAGATCAGGTAACATGAATATGTCTGAGTATCGTAAGCAGGTGCAGAAATTTAGTGATGGAGACAATTGCCCAGAGTTTCATGGACTCTGAGTTTTGTCAGCTTTCAACTAGTACTTGGGGCTTTGAAGTCAAACAAAACCTCAAACCGATATGGCTGTTAACTGGGCTGGAGGATTACATCATGCTAAGAAATCCGAAGAATTAGGATTCTGTTATGTTAATGATACTGTACTGTACTTGCCACCCTTGAATTCCTGAAGTATCACCAGAGAGTCTTATATATTACTGATATTCATCATGGTGATGGTGCTCAAGAAGCTTTTTATGTAACAGACCATGTAATGACTGTATCTTTCCATAAATATGGGGAACACTTACCTGGAACAGGAGACTTGAGGGACGTTGGTGCAAGAAAAGGCAAATACTCTTGTCAATTTTCCAATAAGAGACGGTATAGATGATGAGTCAGATGGGCAGCTATGTAAGCTTATTATCTCAAAAGTGATGGAGATGTATCAGCCTAGTGCTATAGTTAGTGTGGTGTAGACTCACTGATGAGACTTGGTTGCTTCAATCTGATGGTCAAAGGTCATGCTAAATGTGTAGCAGTTGTAAAAACTTTCAATTTACCATTAACTGATGCTTGGGATGGGGGGTGGATAGACAATCTAATGTTGCTTGATATTGAACATGTAAGACTGCAGCCCACCCATAATTGTGAAGTTTCCAGTGAATTGCCACATAATGATTACTTTGAATATTTTGGACCAGTCTTCAAACTGCGTATTGGTTCTTCAAACATGACAAACCAGAACACCACAGAATTTATGGAAAAGATAAAACAGCATTTATTCAAAAATTTACACATGCTACCTCATGCACGTGGCATCCAGATTCAAACTATTCCAGAAGATGCTGTTCAGGAAGACAGTGAAGACAAAGATGGAGAAGATTCAGATAAGAGAATTTCTATTTGAACATCAGATAAATAGATAGCTCGTGATGAGGGATTCTCAGTTCTGAGGATGAAGGAAAAGGAGATTGTAGAAATGCTATCATAAAGAAAAAGTAAAGAAAGCTAGAAGCAAAGAAGACAAGAAGGACACTGAGGGCAAAAAAAAAGTAGATGTTACGAAAGAAGAGAAATCCAAGGACAAGAGTAGTGAAAAAACAAATACCAAAGGAGCCAAATCAGAACAGCTCAGCAACCTTTGAATTAGAGTTTCACCAATTTCAGAAACCATAAAAAGGAGAGAAAAGGAAGGAAGAATTTTTTTTTTCTTTTTGAAGACTTCTGGTTTCATTTTATACTAGCTTGGCATGGACTGTTTATTTTCAAAATGGCTTGTTTTTGTTTTTGTTTCGTGTGGCAAGTTTTATTGTGAGTTTTCTAATTATAAAGCAAAATTTCTTTTCTCCATCATGCTTTATGTAGTAGTATTTAAAATTGATGTTACTCTGTCCAAAAATCGATCTATTAAAAGAAGTAACTGGGAGGCGCCTGGGTGGCTCAGTCAGCTGAGTGTGTGACTTCGGCTCAGGTCATGATCTTGCAGTTCGTGAGTTGAGCCCCACATCAGGCTTGCTGCTGTCAGCACAGAGCCTGCTTTGTATCCTCTGTTCTCCTCTCTCTACTCCTCCCCCATTTGCATTCTCCCTCTCCCTCCCTCCCTCAAAAATAAACATTGAAAAAAAAGAAGTAATTGGACTTTCTGAGCTGATTTTTCCATCCTTTGTAATTCTCTTTATTAAAAAACAATTATACTTGGAGGAAAAAAACCCACAAAACTACAGTAATTAATACTGTGTGACTCTGGCATACAGATAGACGCATAGATTGAAGATATAGAAATGGATCCAGAAATGAAACCTCACATAGTCCATTGATTTTCAATAAGGGTATCAAGACAACTTAATAGGGAAAGAATAGGTATTTCCACAAATGGGGCTGGGATAACTGGATATTCACATGCAAAAGAATGAAGTTGGACCTCTTCCTTAAACCATACACAGAAATTAACTCCCAAGTGGCTCATAGACCTAATGTAAGAGTTAAAACTATAAAACTCTTAGAAGAAAAAAGGAGGAAATCATGACCTTGAGTTAGGCAATAGTTCTTGAAATGACACCAAAAGCACAAATAACAACAAAAACAGATAATCTAGACATCATCAAAATTTTAAACCTTTGTGCTTCAAAGGACAGCATCAAAAAAGTGAAAAGATAACCCACAGAATGGGAAAAGATATTTGCAAACCATATCTGATGGAACTTGTACCCAGAATATATAAAGAACTCTGGTAAGTCAGCAATAAAGACAAATAACCCAATTTCAAAAATGGGTAAAGGGCTTGAACATTTCTACAAAGAAGATATATGAATGGCCAATAAACAAATGAAAAGTTCATTAAGATCACTAGTTACCAGAGAAATGCAAAGCAAAGCCACAATGGGATACCACTTTACACCCACTGTGATGGCTAAAATAAAGACAGATAAGAACAAGTACTTAAATAATATGGAGAAGCTAGAATCTTTATGAATTTCTGGTGAGAATGTAAAATGGTGCAGCCACTTTGGAAAACAGCTTGGCAGTTCCTCAAAATGCTAAGCATAAGATTACCATATGACCAAAAATTTTGCTCCAAGGTATATATACCCAGAACAAATAAAACCTATGTCCACACAAAAACCTGTACAAGAATATTCATAGTAGCATTGTTCATAATAGCCAAAAAGTAGAAACAACCCAAATGTCTATCAACTGGTGAATGGATAAACAAAATGGAATAGCCATACGATGGAATATTATCTGGCCATAAAAAGGGAATGAATACATGCTACAATGTGGATAAACCTTGAAAACATGCTAAATAAAATAAGCCAGACACAAAAGATTACATATTGTATGATCCCATTTATATGAAATGTCCAGAACAGGCAAATCAATAGAGACAGAAAGCAGAGTCGTGATTGCTTAGGTCTGGAAAGTGACAGCAAATGAGCACAGAGTTTTGGGGGCTGGGGGTGAGCTGATGATAATATTCTAAAATTAAACTGCAGTGATGGCTGCACAACTGTTTTCTAAAAACCGCTGAGCTGTACACTTAAATGGATGAATTTTATAGTATGTGAATTATATCTTAATAAAACTTCTTTAAAAGAAAGAATATATATACAAGCCCCAAATTATAATTAGAACAAATTGTCCTGATAAAATAGAAGCATGATGACTGGAAAGTACTTCATGGCTCATAGGTGTCTTCTAAACCCTGCCTCAGGATATGCAGTGTCAAGACTCCGGTTCAAGACAATATCCCAGCAGAAGGCATGCGGGAACGTCAGAAGTATGGGATTGAAACAGGCCAGTAAGAAGAAGGGAAATTTCCTAGTACCAGGCACCAACCAGAACTGGAAGGAATTGGGCTACTTACAGGGAGTCAGTCGACAGTCCAGTCTAGAGTTTCCAAGGGGCCTTGGTGAACTCAGACTAGACAGGCTGATGTTGATGTATGAGGAGGATTTGATTTCACGCATAGGTCTTGTCAGGTAAATAGTAGGTATTTCTACACGTTTGCAATCACAACAAGAAGGATTTAGGGCAAAATACCATCGGCCTTAGTGATGTCAAATTTTAAATCCCAAGACTTTTACGTAATTAGATCCAAAAGTTAGATTCAGAGTGATCATTTCTAGTTCTGAATTTTTCCTGAAGCTGGACTTAACTTTATATTTATGATTGTTTGGGATGAAATATCTCTCATGAATTTCCATTCTCAGGGCTCTTACAAGCCACACTCAAGAAGCTTGCTCAGGCCTTTCCTTCCTACTTTCGTTCCCTGTTAGTTTCTAACATGGAAGGGATCTGTTGATCTTCAGTGATGCTCCAGTTGCTCAAACTGAAAAAAATTTTCTTGCAGTCTTAGATGACAATTTTTTATCTTTAGCATTAGTGCTTACTTCAGGAGGGAGCATAGAATAGAACAGAGCTAATAACAGGTTTTCAAATCTGATCATTTGTGACATTTTCTAGCTGTGTGACTTGGGGTAGGACCAGACTTTCTTGATCTTCATATAAAAAGTGGAATTGATAACACCTACCTTCCAAGGTTAGGAGATTGAGGATGAATGAAACGTATGTATTTTCTCTGACAATTAGAAGGAGCTCATATGTGATGGTTTTTTACTCTCAAGTCACTGAAAATTCTCCCATAGTCAATGCAAATTTAAGTTTTTAGACATTCTTTTTTTTAAGTTTATTTATTTTGAGAGAGAGAGTGTGGGGTAGGGGCAGAAAAGAGGGGAGCAGGCTCAGTGCTGTCAGCACAGAGCCCGATGTAGGCCTTGAACTTATGAAGCATGAGATCATGACCTGAGCTGAAATCAAAAGTGAGATGCCTAACCAACTGAACCACCCAGGTGCCCCAGTTTTTAGACATTCTTTGTAAACCATTCATTGCTTTTTCCCATTCTGTTTCCTGGACTCGTGTGAAATTCCAAGCTTAGGCACTATTCAACCAATTAATACTTGTTATTATATTTCTCTGGTATAATAGTGACATTGGGTCTCTCTTATACTTCTCTCTGTAATACTGTATTTCTCTGAATTTAAGATGCCATCTGTTTGAAGATACGTCTAGTTTCAGAGACATTAAAATGTGAAATAAGAGCACATATAAATATAGTTGCCCCTACTACTTTTGGACCCATGGTCCGTTGCTCAAAGTCTGATGTACATTAGTCCCTTCATCCCAGATGACCAGATCACTTAGAATCAGGCTTTTTTTTTTTTTTTCAGTTAACCTTCTGCCTGATACCGTGATACCTGATATGATGTCATATCAGTAAACACACATTACATTAGTTTTTTTCAAACTCAGAATCACTTTACTCCAACAAGGATAAGGATTACACAGGTACAAGCTATTGACAAATTAGGCAATACTGGTACACAGAACAGATTCAGAGTCCATGCCGTGCATGCTTTCCACTGGCTGGAGGGCAATCTGAGTCAACATGTCACTGAACCAATGATTGCCCTGTTGGAATTAGGGTTCGTGGGGGCATATGGAAGAGCTGGTTTTCTGAAATTCCACTTAGTCATTTCCTGCCCTGTTCTAAAGTCAACAAAATGTAAATGCAGAGGATGTAGTTCATTATTTGTTATTGCTTTTCAACATTTGTTTAATTCTGTTCTATAATTCACGTATAGGCTTGGGACTGGGAATCCTGAAACAAGATATTGCCTCTGGGCTTAAGGACCTTATATTTTAATCAGGGAAGACAAACAAGTAAGCCAACGATTACAGCATAATACTATGTAGAGAAGTGTGCACAGAGTTTTATGAAACATAGGGAAGGACACTGAATCAGACTAGGGGTAAGTGAAAGGAAAGATTTAGAGAAAATGATGTCTAAACTTAGATTTGAAACACAAATAGGAGGCAGATAGCTTCCAAGTGGAGAGAGAGAAGGTATCAAACCTCTTTTCTGTTGGTGTATCTTACCATAATTTTTAGAGATTGGGGGGAAACATGCAGAGGCTTTGAAGGATTGTGGGCTCTTTGGTATGGCTAGCAGGAAGGAAAGGTGTTGGGGAAGAGAGAAGAAGATCTGATGTGAGACAGGCAATAAACACAAGGCCATAGAGAGCCTGGTTGCCAGGGAAAGAGCTTGAACTTAACTGAGGAGGGTGGAGAACCAAAAAAAGGATCTGAACAGTGATGGGAGGGGCGAACAGGAGACAAGGTGTGGTTTGCGCCAAGAAAAATGTCGCTGGCTGCAGTGTGACACATGCAGTGAGAGGAGGTTGAGTCCGAGGCAGGAAGGCAGATCCAGTCCAGGATGAATGAGAACAGAACTGAGACAATGGCGGTAGAGGTGAAGAGCATGGGGCAGCTGTGAGGATGGTTAAGAAAGAGAATGGAGAGGGCTTAGGGAGTGAGGACATTTGGGAAATGGGTGAGAAGGGAGAACTTACAACAGTTCCCATGTTTTTGACTTGGGCAACAGGTGGTGCCGTTTCCCAAGAGGAGCGGCTAAGAGACACTGTGTTTAGATTCGAAGGGTTGCATTTGAGGTCCCTGAGGAACAAGCAAAAGGGGAAAGCATCCTAGTCAAGGAGATAAGAAATTAATCAATACACCCAACGTATACATAGCACTCCATAGTTTACACCAAACCTTTATCTAAAAGTGAGACATGACTGGAGCCGACAGCGTGGGGGTGAGGTCTGAGGGGAGTTTACCTGGAGGAGAGCAGCCAGCCTGTCTAGGGAGCACAGAAATCCAGCACTGGAGGTTGGGGCTAGATTCAAAAACTAGAGGAAACCCCAGAGGATTTTTACCTTCTGCAAAATCCTGAAAGGGCTGCATTTAGAAGAAAATGAATTCAAGAGTATTTATCCTGAAAAACTGGAGTTAAAGATAGTAGGAAAAGGGCATTTTGGGTTCACCTCTAACTCTTGAAACCAACTGAAAACAAAATAAAATAGCAA